AATTGCCCACCACTTGTCCCGGTTTATGACGTTTAAGTATCTGATAAGATATGCATTGTTATAAATATGATGATTTGAGAAAGAAGATGCACTTTTAACTACTCAGTAAGGTTTAGATTTAATGCGGAAGAATCATTGTTGAAGTATTCTCTCTACGCGATCGCCAGTTACAGTCATGAATTTGTTGTTCGAAACATTGTCTCGATTTTTTCAAATGGAAGTTATGATATTTTCGCAGATTTTAATTTTTGCGATTTCATTTAACATGTTTAATTCAAGCATCGAACATTAAGTACAATTTTTACATCAACATTGCTGACTTGTACAATCTTTCCCTGCTGGGTATATTACTTGCGCATTTTTTTCAAAATAAATTGTGAAAAAACGGAGACTAACCCCAGGGCCAACAGTTCCATGTTTACGGTATTATAACTCAGCCATATATTTCATAACATTCTTACTAATTTTCTCAAATCTTTGAAGACAACTATTTTGTATCGACAAGTACTGCATACAAAGCTAGAGATGTCTCCTCAGTTAATAGTTGATACACCTTAGGTTGTTTTACTCTAGTAACAAGAGTAATGTTTTTTATAGTAATGGTATCACATAAACTCTGCCATACTACCAAAAAAGGATATAAATATACATTTTAATCAGTCTACTAGTTGAAAAAAAAATTCGCAAGAGTTGGAGTATTATGACTGTAATACAACATTCAATGTGTATAAAACAAAATGCATAATAAATCAGTACTATAGTGACAAAAAAATACCAGATATGCAAATTAAATGATAAGACATCAGCGGGTCAGATTTGAATAAACCAAACTTATTTCACAAGTTTTACAAAAAAAAAAACGTGTAGTATTGAATCAAAATTAATTGTATATAATTTTTTTTAACAATTATCTAACTTTCAGAAATGCTATATGCAGGTATTTTATACAGACAGATGCATTTATCTGTATATTTTCTAATACAAAACCTTGATCTTCCATAGATTTTTAGCTAGAGACTGTATAAAGATTTACACAACTCACATTAAGAGTATTGTCAATTCATTTAACATACCAAAGGCAGCAATGTGTCAACCCCAAAAAGAGGCTGCAAGTATTTTTTTTATTTTTTTGTACATACGTTTCGTTTTACATTTAGCAAATCAAAAGGAAAAAAAATGAACCTTTAAGCGAGTCTCAATTGCCGTCAACAATAAAATTATGTACCGTTATAACAAATGCAAGATTATCTATTATGGGAAAATATATCAAACACTTGAAGCCGATCTAAGATATAAATCTATTTCACGCACCATATTGTTCGGTAATTCTACTGTAATAAATAAACAGCTTTATCTAATCATCTGCCTTAATTGATTGTTGATTGACATTATGACAGAAAAGAATCAATCGAGACTTAAAATCTGATGATATATATTTATAGGGATTTTCCTTTACCGAGATTTTCATAATAATTGTTTGTTCAATAATAGCATACTACGGTTGAAGGACACCGGAGTGTTTTAAGGAGCTCAAAGATGAGCGTCTTTCAGGTTGAAGTTATGTTGATTAAATTGTACGAAGCAATATCAACAGAATTATGTATATATTTTGCATGAGAGAGAGAGAGAGAGAGAGAGAGAGAGAGAGAGAGAGAGAGAGAGAGAGAGAGAGAGAGAGAGAGAGAGAGAGCAAGGGGGTCCTTTCATTTTTAGCCATGACGTTGTCAGTTTATTTTCGAGTTTTAATATCTCTTTGGAATCTTTTGCATCTATTCTCATTATTTTTTGTTTACAAATGTATATTTTATTGAAAATGTAATTAAAGCAAAACTATTATAAATTATTGAAAAGTCTTGTGAAACAGTTGAACACAATATTAATTTTGTTAACGTTATATTTATACTAAATTAGACATGTCGAAATATAACATCATTATCTGGAAGCAAGTGCGATAACATTGTTCAGCTTGTTTTTCTCCCGACTATCTCCTAAAATTAGTGTTACCTGAATTGATCAATTTGTTGTTTGTATTTAATTATTCGCAGAAAACTGGTGAAGAACAAAACTTTGAATAACTCCAACTAAAACGTTCGTCACATCCGCACATACTTGCGTACACACACTTCTAGACATTTCGTCATTGTAATTGTTTCTATCTATTATTCAGTATAACTTGTTGATTTTTCTTCATTTTACTTACGTTTACCTTTAATAATATTAAAGGTATGCTTCCTTCGACAATTTTTTTTTTGGTGGCACACAACAACTATATACAATGTTTTCTATCCCTATTTCTCAAGGATAACTTAACAACTATCTGAAAGTCAATACATTTCTTATGCAAATATATAAGAAAAACGAAAATTAATAAAATACAAGATGTCGATCGATTATTGGTAGATTATATAGAAGTCATCATGTTTCAAAGTGCATATCGCCGTGTCATATGTTTTCGTATGTCATATGGTTTCGTACGTCATTTGTTTTTACACGTCACATGTCTTCATATCATTAATATTTCGTCAGTTTCAATTACACACACGTACATTGTGACGTGTCTTCCTGTTTCTATATTTAGAACGTTAGCAACACTACAACGTGATACATAACGAAAAAAAAACATTAACTCAAAATGTTATCGAACTTATCTGTCCAACCATTTTATAATGTTTAAAATTGGCGTCACTAATAAAGTTATTGAGGGTTTTTGGCCATGGCGTTGTCAGTTTGTTTTCAATCTATGAGTTTGACTGTCCCTCTGGTATCTTTCGTCCCTCTTTTACACAAGTTATAACTATGTCCACTAACTCTCAGAAAAAGGATCTTCAGGTCACATGATTCTCAAGTAGTTGTTGGTCAGACGTTTTACTAACCATTGAAATTATAATTGTTCTCATATAAATTGGGTGTCCGGAATCAATTTATTCTATATATAAATTGAAAATAAATGTATATTTGACAGGAAAATATGACAACAGTCCGTTTTTTGTTTTATATTTAAACCCACATTTTCAAACTACGTTTGATTTTTTTTTTAGATATTGTGTTTTCAGTTTCAGTACATAAATCATCAACTACATGTTTTTTTGTAATACTGTAAAGTGTCAACTAATTGTTTTTCAATGTTTATACAATCACCGGAACTACAATATTTGAAAATACTCATTCCGAGATCAAATTTAAACGTGAATGTAAACTCAACAGTGGTAACTATTAGCAGTGAAAATTGTAAATAGTTCGAAAACATATGACACGCGGATACATGAACATATATTAGAAAACGAGATATTTGTTGTATGTTTAAATTATTCCTTCGTCTGTTCACTGCGGTGATACTATACATCAGCATGTCGTGTCCTATACGACGGAGATTTATAAGACTTATGACACTGTTTATTATTAATACTATTTCTGTATATTGATCAAATGGTATCACTCATATTCTAATCAAAATAAAGAAATAGATTGGTATTTGATATTTCATATTTTGCGCTCTTTGCTGTCATTTTATCGGTCTCCCTTCTACTTTTTTTATTTTTTTTTAATTTATTCAGGCAATAGACATGATAAAGATATTTCTTTTTAAATTTGTTTTGTATTTTAATTTTCGTTTCATTATAACTTTCATTTAAGAATTGAATGCTTCTTTTTGTAAATTCATTGAGGTGTAAAAGCGTTGACCGAAGTACATTTTGTATGAAGCGCGGAAGCGCTTCATTCTTAAAATGTGCGCACGGTCAACGCTTTTACAACCCTATGAAATTAATAAAAGAAGCATTAAATACTTTTAATTACATTATTTCGCTATGATCATGAAAAATCGATTTTTATCATTTATTTCTTTAAATAACCTGTGCACTTTTCTGTGATAGCACGTGTCATCATGGATGTTAAACTTCATTGGGATATGAAGGTGAATTTTAGTATGACGCACAAGCGTTGTTATCCATTCAAATTAACGGATTCTTCCTGAAACATACATGTAATGTAATTATTTACATATATCTGGTCAACGTTCACAATTTAATTGCTTGAAATCAATACTTCAATCATAGATGACGAGCGTTTGATAAAATTATATGAGATAATTGTCCGATGTGAAAAAAAAAACAAAAAAACAAAAAAAAAAAACAAAAAAAAAAAACCCTCGCAATTCTTATTAAATATACAAACCATGTCTAGCATTAAAAAAAATGTTTCCATAATTCTTAAACATGTTAAACGATGGCACTAAGGTGTATATCAGGAATAGCTTGCATGAACTTGTTTGTTTCCGTTTGAAAAAAATCAAGAAAATATGTAAACCATAACAGAAAATCATAACTGATCGCAAACAAGCAAAACTAAAAACATGGACCGTATACGTGTGTCCTGCTATACGTGTTGTCTCATTAATCTCAGAAGAAATTGCTGTGCTTAAGTAAAGCCCGCCAAAATATGTTTTGCATGTGTTCGGAAAAAAGTAAATCGTATCAATCTAAATTTGTTCAGCGTCGAATTTAGTTTGTCTTTCTCATGACCCTGCTGGTTGACCTATTATGAACTGCATAAACAATGTTTGATGTTACTATAAAAAGGCAATGATATACAAAGAAACAATACTATCCATGACAACTTCTAATCATTTCACTTAGTCGAAAAAAGAGGACAGCACCATCGCAATAGTAAAAAACATTTACATGACAAGCATCGATCTATAACGCTCTTCCTTACAGCTGTTAAACATTAAATAATAACAGCCACATAGATCACATGGGGTTATATAGAAGTACTAAAAATGTGGCATCCGACGTTTGATTAATTGCAAGTAGATATTCAGTGATGTGGCAACATGTTAGAATTGGACAAAAGCCGCAACAACAAAACAGGGTTTGATAAATGCCAAACGGAAAATATATATAGTCATTAGTGACACTAATAGTTCATCATTGATCAACTAGACAATGGAGTTATAATTTTAGTTTACATATATATTCAAGTTTGTTCCGACTTTTTTTCAGTCATTTGACGATGAAAAACAATTGTGTAAGACATCAATTGATTGGCGAAAAAACAAAAATAATGACCAAGAGCCTCAATATGAAGCGATTATGATACAAATCCAGGAGGCAAACAAAGAGGCAGAAAATACGTGTGATTTCATTTGTAGAAGCAGTAAAATAATGTGTCATACAGGTAAGTAACGTAGTTGTGTTAGTCCCTGCATACGATTTTTGTTAGCCTCTTTAAAATAGTGTCTCCTTGATATTTGTCACCCTTTAACTAGCTGGTGTGATGAATTCAACTGTCATATATTACAGTTAAATTATTCCTATTATATTACCTTTTTTTTCATACATGTATAAATAGTATAATTTGACTTCACTATCCTTTCCACTAGTTTTCTCCATTCTAATCTTAAAGAAATATTTTTAAAAAATCAGTCAAGCTGTTTCTTTTTAAATTGTTTTTCCTATTGGGTGTTGGATGTGAAATGATCATGCTGATGGGATGACCCTTTTCAACAAATGATTCTAGTTTGTTCTTATGTTGTGCTGTTATACCACTGCCCCAGGATAGGAGGAGGTGGTTGGCACGCCCGCAACAATGTTTACCTCCGCAAAATTATACATATGCCCTTTATTCAGTGGTTGTCGTTTGATGTCGATACGTCATGTTTTGTTTTTGCTTTATTCTTAAAATCAGACCGTTACATTCAGTTTTCTCGTTTGAATTGTTTTACAATATTGTCATTTTAGTTTTATAGCTCGCTATGCAAAATGGGTTTGGTCATTGTTTTAGGCTGCACAGTAGTCTATAATTGCTAACCGTCTACGTCATATCGTCATATTGTAGGTAATGAATACCTGTTTTATTGGCAATCACACCATTTTTTTTATATATAGATAAGCAATGATTGTTTTATAAAGCCATAAAGTATATTTTGAAAAAAAAACAAAAAAAAAAAACGCTTCGATTTGAAAAACACACACTTCTGAAACCGACATCTGCAGAATGCCTGACTTTTTGTTAAGCATATTTGTATTTCTTGAAGATCCTATTTTTCAACAATCATTCAGGTATTACTGTTGAAACCAACTGTGCTCCTTTTCTTGCCATCTTAGGGCAGACATCATGAGCATACGCATTGACAAACTATTTCACCAGTTAGTAGCTGAACATTTAACAAGGAAAGCTTAATAAAAAAGAAAAGGACTCAATGTTTTTAAATCAAGTTTTACAAGTATCCTGTGTTCGTCCCTACTTAAGGTTTACTTAAAACATAAAATGCTTCGATATAATAATTATAAATTATCCTCCATATATATTTCAAATTGTTTACAAACTATGACAAACTATTGCAATATCATTCATCTTGTATTCCTAATTAACTTTGAGACTGATTTTTGTCGATTTCTCACATAATTGTGTTATGATGAAACAACAGACTGTATTGCCTTGCATGATGAACCTATCCAGTAATGCTGTCTGGCTTCTATCAGGTTGGCAAACACTTGCAGGGAAAAGTCGACGCTCACAAATTGTATTATAACGCTAATTTAGAAAATTATAGTTTTATGCAATCCATTTGGGAAATTATTGCAGATAATCTTGAAAAGACAATGCATCAAACATTGGATTATGATCACATCAATTGTAATTGTTTTTATGAATTTAAATTGTTATTAACACATAATTACTTCAATTAGTAAAACTGATGTATGCAGTTTGTTTGTTATATACATGTACATATATGTATACGCCGCTTTTTTATTTATTTCAATTAAACATATTTAGGCAAACTGCTGAAATGACTATAACAATTGCTTATGTTCAGGCTATTCAATATAAAGTGTCGAAAAATATCAATCTTCTTTATAAAGCTTTCACTTTTCGGATTATATATTCAAATTGTTTGTGCTGACATTAGAAGTCTAGTCTTTATGCCATGTACATGTAATTAAATTAACGATTTAATCTTTAGTTTTATAATTTCCAGCAGTTTTCTTCAGAAAAAAGGGAAGTGTGGTAGGACTGCATATGCGACAAATATCAAGCAGAATCAAATTGGACCAGATTTAGCCAACTATCAAACAGAACCCAATTGGAACAAATCTAGCAAACTATAAATCAGCATTAAACAATGAGCAAAACCCATGTCGTATAGTAAGCTATTAAAGTCCCTGAAATGACAAAATGCAAAAAAATCTACATACTTATTTATGACAGGACAATTATCTAAAAATAAATATGGCAGAAAACAACGAACATCAACCACTGAATTACTGACTCCGGAAGACAGAAACATATAAAATAGGCCTGGATAAAACATGTTTATGAGCACTTAAAATACCTTTGGCATGGACAACACAGAAAAAAATTAACTGATATTTGACTTAGACTGCAAATTAAAAATCTACGTATGATAAAACTTGGTTTCAAAAGAGGATTTTCATATACTATATATATACATATATTGTATATGTTTATTCGTACAGGTCTACTCATATTAATGTAGTTCAATTGTTTCAAATTGCATGTCTTTACTTATTATAAGATGGTACAATATGTACCAATTAGCAATAATTACTATGCACCGATTGACGTGTAAAATATTTATTTTTTTTGTAGTGTTTGTAACAGTAATTGTTGGTTTGTCTATGACCATACCGATAGCCATGATGTCAGTAGGTAGTTATCAATTATCTTTGACAGTATATTTTGAAAACAATGAGAGCAAAATAATTGCAATTATAAAATAAATTTAGTTACGGTTGACCATATGCACAGTTTGACTGTAATCGTGGTCATTAACAAAACTTGTTTATCAAGGACAAAGCATGCACGACTTGAAAAAAAAGCACTTGATATTGGTAAATAGTATTTTACAAAAGGTTAGTGCCAAATATTTCATGCATATTGGAGACTACAGATTCTTAAACGATAAAGGATTTAAGAATACGATGATGTAAAATTAATCCCTGGAATGAGGCTGGATTAAATATGGTGTGAAGCGTGGTCTATTTCTACAAGAAAAACACGGTTTGATTTATAATAGTAGCAGACACATGCATATTAGTATGCAGCAACAAATCGAAGGACGATTCAGATGATTGTTTCAATAGATAATTTTAACGAGCAAATAGCATGATGTAAAGCAACAAGAGCCTCGAATGGAATGCTATTATTACAACCATATGTGGTCGCGTATTTATACGTCCCGTACTGACAACAGAACGCACCCGCACCATGATTGTTATATGCAGACGAAAAAAGTACAGGCTAACCGTTTGTGTAAACTATCGTTAACCATTGGTTTAACTGGCTTTTGAGAAATTACAGAGAATGTCAAAATATCAATTATAAAATCATAAAAATGCCTTATCTAACATTGATGATACTAACAATCCCTTACCCAAACCATGTAATGCACGTTCAAAATATGGTCCATTAATTAAAAACATTCTACACAATTAAGTAGGAACGTTGATTTTAAGGTAATATAAAACAACATAATTTTAAAACTTTTATCGTATAACCAAGAGGTTCATTTCGTATTTCCTTGGTCATTATATTAGAAATAGATAAACTGTATCTTATGATTATATATTCTGGTTAGAGCAAGAACAAGATGAACATATAATAATTGGCACTTATCTTTTGTTAGTTGAGTGCTGTTGAGTTACTCTGGCATTGATGTAAACAATCATCTTCTTGCACTCGTGTGTGGATGTGTAGAAAGTCAAATGACAGGGAAAATTCAAAAGGCATTTATTAAATGGCAAAATCAAAAGCGCAAACATATCAAACGAATAGAAAATAATGTTAATAATTCTTGACTTTGTACAGATATTTACTTATGTAGAAAATGGTTTTATAGCTAGTTAAACCCCTCACTCGTTAGACAGTCATATGGAATTCCATTATATTGACCACAATGCGTGACTAAAACATACAGACATAATAGGTAAAAATATCAAAAACTCGGGTACAGCAGTACACATTTTGTTATAATCTTAATCACTATAAAAACAAAAGGTCCATTTATATGTTTAGGAGTTAAGTATGACGTCCATTTTCACTGAACTAGTACACATTTTTATTTAGGGACCAACTGAAGGCCGCCTCCGGTTGCGGGATTTTCTCGCTGTGTTGAAGACCCATTGGTGGACTTCGGCTGTTTTATACTCTTTGGTCGGGTTGTTGTCTTTTTGACACATTCCCCATTTTCATTCTCTATTTTATTTTAACTAATTCAACAAAGAAAAACCAAAAGACATATAAACACTCTATAGACAAAGTACATAAGCAAAAATGAAAGACAATAAGACTAAATTGACCATAGCACAATAACACAATTTCAACCCACATATGCAAAATATATTTGCAAATGGACGAGAATCAAACTAACATCAAGAAATCAAGCGTGCATAAATATATGTAATAAGTATATGGAAGTAACTTTACTTAAACAGATATACTGCTGTAAAATGTTTTTAACTAAGATGTAAACCTGTCAAATTTAGCCTGGATGATTATACATTTGATTTTAGTACCTCTCCATACTTATTCGACTGTAAATTTACAATGAACTTTTTGGTCAGCTTTTAACGCAATGTTGAAAAACAACCTGTAACTCATTAAGATGTCGAAAAAATACCGGATCGTAAACTTATTTGAAATGTAATAAGTGCAATGGTGGTATTCTTTGTTTTCAGAAATGCACTCGATATGCATGTACATCTGCATGTTCGGATCAAAATCGTTGACAAAATATATATTTATATCTTCTTGTTTACATTTAAGGTGTCAAATATTTAAATGATTGTCCAAAAAAGAAGAAAGTCCCAGTCTACTTATTAGTTGGTGGTTGCTTTGGAATGTTAAAGGTGCTTGGAACAATATGGCGGAACATACGATACCGTCGCTATGACGACATGGATAGCTTCTATGACGCTCATGGAGGAGATGGTGCATTTGCAGCAAAAACATATCACATGATGGATATGATTATATCTACTTTCTTATTAGCATGGCTTATAGCTGGTACATATTGGGTATTTGAAATATGGCAGCCACATTATAAACAGTTGTTACATGAACCAAGCAATTGGTGTGATAAGCACGTGTACATGTTTGCTGTATATCAGATAATTGGTTGTTATGCTTTTTTAGCTTTTCTATTAATAACAATGTGTGTATTGGCTTCTTGTTATAAATTTACAAATATTTTTGACCATTCGTGATATAAGCGTATTCATTTGTCCACATTTTTACTATATCTATATAATTACATTATGTTATATATCATTTTGTCTTTACGATTTAGCAAATAATTATTTTGAATACTTTCTCTACATTGAAACTTTTCTGGCGAAAACATGCATTTGAAGATACAAATCGAAGGACTTAACTGAGGAATACTGTTGTTATGCAGATACAGACTATCTCTTTCAAATACAGACACTTCGAGTACACCATTTCATGTCTAACAGAAATCGAATGCGGAATTGATATCTTTAAGGTGGAATTTCATAATTGCATTAACCATTTTTATAGCTACCTTTAAGCTTCCAATTCAATCTAGCGAGAGTCTATGTTTGGTTTTTTACATGAGCTATATCGTAAATAATTAATAATCATATTGTGTGAAGTTGCAAGATAGAAAAACTTCGTTCTCTAGGATCTTGAACAGGTCTGTCGATTGGAACTGTGTAGGCAATTTACGAGTCCTTTGAACTGAAATTTACTTGTAGATATGTCAAGTTAATGTCAGTAAAAAATATTACAAATCGTGTTTGTATTGCTTTCAAACAAATTGAATATGTTTAAGTGTTATTTGTTCAATGGTATGCTTGTATATATGAACGGAACCTGTTATGTTTTGTACAACGATTATATATATATGTGTGATAAATCTTTTACTAGATATTTAAGGGTGTTATCTTGAAAAATTTGCTCTCTCTGCTTCATAGCCCGTACTATCTTATGTAACATCGGGATAAAACAAACCGTAATCAAACAATTGGACTTTAATACATGTTCTTACTGTTAATTCTTGTCGTATATCATATATGTCATAAGCATACATTGTACTGATAATTAATATTATAAACGTTTAATCCAAGCAAGCAAGTTGTCTTTTTTATAACTTTAGACATTAATCCATTTAATACAAATCAGTGTACCAAAATGAAATGCACACCTTATACGTTATTACATGTATGAAAATGTGATTGAATTGTCTTATGTATACGTCTGTATCGATTAAAGAAATGAAAAATGTATATTTCAATGTATTGTATGGCCAATTTGTATGAAAGATACAAACAATTAATGTCTAAATATGCCTGATTGTGTTTTCAACGACAGGGATACTTTAATTAACAAGCACACAATCATCGTAGAAGCCAAAAGGTTAGGCCAGAGGAGGGTATTGTCTCCACAGTAACGCTCGAATAAAAACGAGTTTAAGGTTTAATCAAACATTAAGTTGAAGAGCATTGACATCAATAATTTCGGAAAATTTGTTCCAAATACGACACACAACAGAATATATTAATAGTAATTAAATGTAAATAGCATGTCAATTTTGATGCTTGTTATGTTCCTCATTATTATAGATATTAAACAAATATAACATAACAACATAATTTATCTTAGACATATCTATTATTTAAGAAAATGCATACTTATTGCCAATATGCTATAAAATGACAGGTTACTAGAAAGGTTTTTGATATTTCATTATAAATTAAAAACTGTTTACTTTACATTTTGTGACAAGTGAACCCGTGGAATTTGACAGGAAAGTCACAAAATTCTACTTACGTTCAAGATTATTATTAAAGCCTGAATAATTAGCTAAATATGTACATGGATATTGTTAAATGATGGCATGCTTTTATACAGCCATGCTTAAAGTTAATACGATTAGAAACAAATGACAGTATGATTTTCCAGCATGTACTTTTTTTCACTTTTGATACAGGTTGTCTAATAATAAATCAATTGTGTTACTCAAGTAGGTATGTTTGTTGGTATATTTATGATTGAAGTGTGTATACCTTGGTTTGGGGAGGTAGCTCTGGAAAACTGTAATCTGTTTTTGAAATTAAAAAGCTCATCAACGCTTGTTTAGCAAACATGTCAAATAAAAGTTAGATAATCTATGTTACTGTGAAACTCAAACTGTATTTTATTTGAAATGGTAAGCAAATGAGTGTCTAACTCATTAATTGGTAAATTTTATATTACGTTTTATACAAACAAAACATTAAACTGTGTTTGAAGAAAAAAGAATTTTAACATCAGGATGAAATGTTCTTGTTCCTTAAAAACACCTAAATGTTGGAAGTTTATTTCTATGTCGTGAAATTCCTTGCACTCTACCGGAATACAAATAAAGAATAACATTAACACATTCAAAAGATCATTTGAAAGAGACGCGGTTCTTTAATCACGTCCGCTTCACTTTGAGATTTGACAGCACTATGCAATATCTACTTGTCACGCCTGTACTGCATTACATCAAGTATGCATATTTTCCATTTAAGGATTAAGAATCACAATGATTGTAAAGAATTCAAATAAAAGTCTTCTAGATGATCGAAATAAACGGAATCAAATACATCACCAATGTTAAATCTATTAACAAGACAGTTGTACGTTGATATCAACGCTTCTTTGATATTCCTTGGTGTGTTATTTGGAGTAGGTCGTACCTTTTTGCTCTAAAATTATACAATTTCTTTGTCATAACATATTAAAAAACGAATTCGTCTCGTTACGCTCGTCGCTATTTCACACATTACAAACTATGAAACCCATTGATCCGCCCTGGTATATAAAGAAAGTTTAAAGTCAATGCACCATACGATACATTAACCAAAATTAAAGTGAATGTTTATGTTTATAAATGTACACATGCGTATTTATGGTTTCGACAGAATAAACTGGTCAGTAATGAATAGTTTTGATGGTATAGACCATATCCTTGAACCAAATATGTAATAGTACTTCGATATTCACCGGTTACATCCAGTTTTTAGAAATATGCACAAAAACGACATATATTGTCCAAATGTCACGTCGGATCTTTTGAAATATTTTGATATTTTTAAAATCTTATATAGCTAGGAAAAGTAAAAATCTTAGATTTTGTTGCATCCTGCCTATCTTTAGAAACAGCCTCATTTGCATAAATGCCTAAACATCACTAAATTGCTAGTTAAAATGTGTATATTTCTAACAGTCTCACAGATCATTTAAACTTACATGTGCTAAAATGACCAGGATAGACAAAAAAAACAATATCAGAAAAAAAAAACGTCTCGAATGATAATTGGTGTGTGTGGGGGTAAGGGAAAGGGGGATGCAGAGAAGGCCTTGTAGACCACATAATTTTGAAGAAAGTTTGAGTCAAACAATCTCCTAAAGTGGCATTTATTTTTTCATGAAATAGGCTTCAGTGAACAGAACAATGGGTATTGTCAAAAATATCAAAAATTCAAGTTGGCAATTCATTGCAAGATATTGAAATTTGTATATAACTTTCCTATAGTTTGATAGATTTTTGAGTTATATAAATTCTAATCATCAAAACTCATTAACCCTAAACATCAAAACTCATTAACCCTAAGCTATGAATCAAAATAAGATTTGAATTGCATAAAATTATAGCATGACACATTTTACATACATAATGTCATTACTTTTATGTATTATTGCCTAAATATCTTTGAAATAGGAAAAACAAGTCACATGTTTTATATAAGTTATCGCCCCTTATTTACACTCTCCGTCATGAAAACATGATGTTACCATAAGTTTTGCTCTTATAAACCTTAAACTTCTGCAACAACTAATTTATTTTGAACAAAATTATGGTAAAACATGTCTCTAAATTATTTATAAATCTAACAGCCATCTCCTAAAACTTCTATAACATGCAATAAGAAAAAGATTGGTATTTTTTGTCGGGTTATGGACGAGTCCAAATAAGAGCAATATCATTAGTATAGGATAACACCTCCTTAATCACAATGCCTTGCAAACTAATAAAATTTACATTGAATACTATGATTATTTGTCAACATTGGATTTTTCATAATTTGTATGTATATGATTATATATGATTAGGGTTTAAGAAAACACAAATGGCATTACAATATTTTTGCCACTTATATACACTTTCACCATTTTAGCAGTTTCGTTAAACTTCGGATATTTAGACCAGAAGGGGCAAATATAGAGAAACAATTTAACCTAGGGTTTTAACATATTTTGACAGAATTACAACATGTTATTACCAATAAAACAGTTACATGTTGATAAACACTGGTCAGGTTAAAACTGCTGAAATTGGTTAATTCTCTGCTATATTTTGACCATAAATGGCTACAAATAGATGGCGCTCCACAAACTGAGTAACATTGAATATTTAAAAAAAAAGTGTTTGCACAATGAGTAGTTGCCATGACAGTATCATGTATGCAAACTAATTTTCGCGAGCGATTTGTTTTGGACTTTCGCGAGTAAAAAAATAACTCAAATGTAAATCGTCGCAAATAGGTAAAACGTGGATTTTTCCTTATTTAACTGCATCAAGTGATTCGAACTCGCAAAATTAAATCTCCCCAAACTGGGTTAGAAAGGGCTAAGCGTGAAATAAAGTATCCGCGAACATAAGTTGATTTACAGTAATCGCTAGGTAACAGATTTATCTTAATTCTAATTTGTTTGTTCATTTGTATTTTGTCGTTTCACTAGCACCTTCATGATACTTTAGCCCTTTAGTGCAAATTAGATAGATAGGAAAATATGATCATAAAAACATTATCTGAATTTTTCTCTTAAAGCTCCGTATTCCAACGTTACTTAATGTAAAAAAAATACGGAACAGGGTTGTACAATTGCCTCTGCGTGTCAGTGAACTGTAAAATGTAATTCAAGGTCGAATATTGGGTATTTTGGTCTTTCCCCTATCCACCTCACTCGGTTCAATTGCCAAACAAATGGTTTTGGAGTGTAATACAATCCAAATAAATGTGTAATAACACAGTAATACATAGGCTTACTCTAATACAATTTATTTTGATTAATCACATAAAACAGTTTCTATAATTCTGCTTCTTTGTGTTATCCCATTTTCGATCTCGCCATTTACATTTATGCTGCTGTGATAAAAATCCGTTCACAGATATAAAAGCTGATTATAAAAAGTCGTTAGGTCATTTTGTTATGAAATCTTGTTTGAAACATCGCGGATAAAAGACCATTAAAACATTTTGATATATTGAATTCAACATAATCATTTTTTATTATTCTTTGATGAATAGCCTTAACACCGCGTTTTATCCAGATAAACAGCAACTCAATTTTGAATATTAATTGAATGGTTGTGAAATGTTCAAATCCGAAATAAAGCGTGACTTTATATTTCCGCTATATTTGTTTGAGCTGTGAAGTTGAATTGTTGTACTTAAAATACATATACGGGTAAATCCTTTTACTTCTTAATTTGCTGTATTATGATCCGATATAAACGGGTATGCGATTGAAAGCTAAACTATATGTTATAATATATGATATTCTAACTTGTTATCCTGTTATGCCACTAACGGGATGCTATATTATAAACACCGTTCACATTATCAATATAATTAATATACAACTTGTAAAATCCGGATATATGATTTAGTGTTTATGATGTTATGATTACTAAACAAGTCAAAAATACCAAAAATAACAAACTCCAAGGAAAATTCAAAACGGAAAATCCACATCTAACGAATTGAAAACAACTGTCATATTCCTTACTTAATGCAGGCATTTCCTTATGCAGAAAATGGTGAATTAAACCTGGTTTTATAGCTAGCAAATTATCTCACTTGTATGGCAGTCGCATGGAATTCCATCATATTGACAAAAATAAACAAACATAATAGGTAAAAATGTAAAAAATTGGGGTACAGCAGTCTACATTGTGTTATTATCTGAATTACTATAAAATACAAGCATTATATATACTAGTATAAGCATACAAAAAGGGACAATCAACATTCATAATTCCAGTAGAAATCAAAAAAGCCATTGCAAACAAATATAAATGACTAAACGACACCAAAGTATTAAAAGATGTAATTGAGAAAGAAGAAGCGTTCTCTTAAATTTGTAGATTAATTTTCCTAAAAATTATTTCAAAGT